CCCCAAAACCCCAAAACCCCAAAACCCCAATACATAAGCACAAGGTTGGGTATGAATAAAAAGATATGATAGTGTATATGGAGAGTATTTTTAATGATCGGATTATACTCAAGTGAGCTTATTTCATATTTTATTATCATGAGTGATCTCGACATGCCTCATCTCTGACTGGAGTGTCTCTACCTTTGGCATTTTGCTGATCTACGCTTACTTGTATGTCAGACTCAAAGTTATTTACTATAGCGTCCAGATGACGGTCTTGTATGCACTCATGCTGCCTCTAATCTGATTAGGGGTTCAATGGGTTTCTCAACTCAGAAACTTCAAGCAGGAGTTCTTGTCAAAGCACTTTGATAAGCAGGTTTTATCTCAGCTAGAGAAAGTGTTGCAGGATCTCCCTGAGGACGTCATCATCATGATTCATCATGGAGATAGCCTGAAATTATTTCAAAAGAAAATCCAGCAAATTTTTGATGTGGAGTCATTTTTTAAATCTCAAAAGCATAATATGAAGTTAGCCTAGGTCAAATAATGCATCTACAACAGTTTTACTTACATAGATTCCAAAGTGATTGCTGACAAGTTGAGATTAGATAATTCTCGAATACTAATCGACAACATCCTCAGCAACTTCATGGTTCAAGTCAAGAAAGACGCAGTCAAAGAAGACAAAGAAGATGACTCTGATGTACAAGTCAACCAGTACGTAGATATCTTGTTGACCCACTTCTTGCTAGACATAAGAGAACTGTGACAAAATACTTGAGACCATGACAGAAGCATCAAAGCATAGATGTCGTTCAGCTACAAACACATTTGATAACAACTATAGAGTATCTGGATAGATATTTTGTAGTGAATATTTCAAAAATTGATGTTGTCAATGGCCTCGAAAAGTTATCTACTTTCCTTCAAATTTTTATAGGCACAACCCAGATTACTCAGCTAGAAGAAGCTAAAGCCCAGAGCAACTATCAACGCCAGATGCTCTCGAATGTGTCCCACGAGTTCAGGACTCCCCTCAATGCGATGTCGCTGTCTCTGCACTTGATGAAGGACCACCTGACTGAGGATTGGGCCAAATATCACAGGATGACTTCATCGTCGTGAGACATTCTGAAAGGTCTTGTTGAAGACATCTTGGACTTCTCAAAAATAGAAGCTGGAGTGTTCGAAGTCCAGGATCAGAGTTCACATTCAGGCAACTCTCCAATGAAGTGAACTCCATCTTCGAGATGCAGACTTGCATGAAGAGGATCAACTTGAACTTCACAATGCAAGATGTATTAATCGAACTGGAAGTCTAATCAAACAAAGACAGGCTCAAACAGATTTTGCTAAATTTTTATTGAATTCGATCATGTTTACAAACAGAGGCTCTACCAGTGCGGACCCAAAGATTCAGCAACTAAAACCTAAGCAGATACAGCATTGGCAACAATTTTCCTCAACTAATATCGGAAGTTACCTCTCAGGTTCATTAGAGTTTGATTCTCAAGAAGAAATGCTTATATGTCATCTTCTCTTTTGGCAGAAATAATTATAATTTTACATCGAATTCATCTAAGTTTGAAAACAAAGTTAAAAAGTATCTGCCATATAAGGGAGAATCAGGAAATATTAAGAAAATGAAAGGGAATATTTCAATGGTCTCTCATTTAACAAAAGAGCCCAAGGTCGAACTGACTGTTATAGGCACAGGTATCGGCATCCCTAAAAAAGAGAAGGGGGTATTTTAGATTCAGATGGTAAAAATTTAAAATTAATTACTAATTATCCTCAAAGGTTTATTGGTATGCAATACTTTTATCCACATTAACTAGGAAATCTTGTCTGATCTTCTTTGCTTTTGTTAGAATTTAGAATAAGAGAAATAAAAATATGATAGGTAGCCTAATATAACCAGTTGAATGATAAAACAGGAATTTCAAAGCCTTGCGGGGCAATATATTCATCGAATTATGCACAAATATTACAAATTTTGACTTCCATATACTTTCTAGCCAAAACTCCAAACCCACTATATCGTCCAAACCACCCTAAAACCCAACCCCCTCTCTTAAACCCACTGAAACACCTCATCCAGGACCTTCCAACTTCTGCCTCCTCCAAATCTGACTGCTAGCTGCTTCTTAGCCACCCTTCGAACTAAAAGATCCTTTGGCTCAGATTCAGGGCCGGGAGTGGCTCCTGCCAAGTCCAGGGGATGCCGCCATAGGGACCCAGAGCGGAATAAGGATTCATTCATTAAGAGAGTTCTGAGAGCTTTGAACTATTAGACAAAGAGATGGTATTATGAGGAGGTAGAAATACTGAGAAGCTTAGAATCGCTGATATGGCGAGCTAAGTTATGTCATTAATTAATGCAAAGACCTACCCTCTCTGTTCAAATTGTTTGGTAAGACTAGTTCTAACCACAACAGGAACAAGACTGGAACTGGGCTTGGCCTCACCATCTGCAAGAAGCTTTGAGAAAAGCTTGGTGGTAATATATAACTAGAGTCCAAGGAAGGAGTGGGCACCAAGGTGACTTGCTCATCTACATGCCTCTATTAACAATAATTAAGTTCTGTGGATATTTCAAAGCACAGTCATCATAAGGGGTTTTGGGGTTTTGGGGTTTTGGGGTTTTGGGG